CTCTGTCTGTCTCTCTCTCTCTCTCTCTCTCTTTCTCTCTTTCTCTGTCTGTCTCTCTCGCTCTCTCTTTCTCTCTCTCTCTTATCTCTCCCCTTCTCATCTCTCACTGGTAGTACTTCTGCCAGTACTGATGGATAATATCGGCCAGTATAGGACTGAAGTTTGCGTGATCGTCCCGTAGATGGCGCGGCAGTTCGATCTGTATCGCATCAAACTCGCCGCCGTACTTGGATCCGTGTTCACGCAGGTCGTATCCGCCGATGAAATATCCGTCCGCTCCCGGACTCGGATTGATCGGCGACGGCACGACGTCGTAGCCGAGATCATCGAACATCTTCCCCATGCTGTCGGCACCGCGAACCGTAGACTCCACCGGAATGCTTGTGAAAACCTCCGATAGATGGCGCAGGCTGCTGTCCGTCTCCGTGAAGCTGCCGGACTCCAGCTTGGACTTGCTGATCGTGTAGCCGATCTCCACCCACTGCCGCGGATGCGTCGTCACTCCGACCCCGTGCACGTCCACTAGAAACCCTCTCCCTCCGATCGCAGCCTTAGCTTCCTCTATCTTCGCGTGGAACTCCTCCCAGGCTTCCTCCGCTGCCGCCACGCCGAACGTCGCCTCGGGTTTCTCCCTGTTGGCGTCGAGTCGGCCGCGATGGAGAAGGTTGATGACGACGTACGGTTGACAGCCATGATTCTGCAGCAGCGCAGCAGCGACACCTAGCGTTATCTCCTTAGTGTAGGCGTCGCGAATGTTCTTCGCCTTGCAGAGAGAGAAGTCCTTGTCGGTGCACGTGTGCGTCCACACGCATGCGCCGTCGATGCGACAACCTGCGTCCCTCAGCAGCGGGATCTCCGTCGGGATCACGTAGCCGCCGTGAGGGGCCGCTGCCATCGTATATATAGAGAGAGAGAGGGAGTGTGAGAGCGAGAGAGGGTAAGAGAGAGAGTGAGAGAGTGAGGGAGTGAAAGGGGGAGAGGGAAATGGGAGAGAGAAAGAGAGAGAGAGAGAGAAGGATGATACGAGAAGATCGAGCCAGACGGAGGATTATGTCAGAGAGAGATCGGAGAGAGGACGACGAGATAGACGATTGAGAGCCACTGAGCAGAGTAGTTATATACATAGTATAATTATCTTGCCTCGACGCTTTGGTTATCGTTCGCGCTCTCTCGCATGTTCTACGGTACGACAGTGGATGTATATTAGTGCAGAGAGGGGGAGCTAGCTAATGTTTAACAGAGCTGATCACGAGCATGCCGCTGCCGCTTGCCGCTCTGTGGCGGTTGCCTGCTGGCTGGTTGCTGATGCCAAGGACCAGGCGCGGTGGATGGCTGCTTAGCCCTACATCTGATTACACGCAGGAAATACTGCCAACCATCTATCCTGCGTATGTGACATTAATTAATAATTAATGATATACTACAATGGACGTAGGTAATTATTCCACGGCCTTCGTGGTGTAACGTGACGTCTTTGTTCCTTATCGAAAATATTTTTGTATATTAATCTTAACATGTTTAACAATATAATGTATAATGTTATAATGCGTTATTTAATATATATATATAATTATATATATATATAGATATATATATATATATATATATATTTTTTTTTTTTTTTTTTTCTTTTCTATTCTCTTTTTTATTGTTTTTTTTTTTCTTTTTTTTTCGGGCAAAACAACTAAGCTTTAATATTATGCGTTCGCGTGTCTTATATTTCGTGTACAACCAGGATCTGCGTCCTTCTTGTTACATTTCCCCTCTATTTTCCTGCCCCCTCATTCCTCTCTCTCTCTCTCTCTTTCTCTCTCTCTCTCTCTCTCTTCTTCATTCTCT